GAGTTTAGAATATAGCTCATATTAAGTTCTAATATCACTCCCTGCAAAGTTGTGGAAAGGGCCTTAGGTTCGAGCGCCGACCTCAAACCGACTCAACCACTTTTGCTTGCGACTTTGGGCAAAAAGTACCTGGACCCCAAAAGTATGNNGACCTTTATGGCTATTATTATGGGTTTAGGGCTATAATTTTGCATACTTTTGGGGTTTAGGTAGAGGCCTCGCATCAATGTTTTGGCGTGAGGTGAGGGCGTGCATGTAGTCCAAGGATGAGGACGTGAGGGTCTTTGGATTTGTGGGTGGAGTCAAGAAGTAAAGAGAGGCCAGCTTTTTTAATGCAAGCATTAAATTCAAGAGCCCTTAGAAAGATCGGAGAATCCTTACTTTGGAATGCCGTTTAGATTTTTAGAGTTTAAGGTACCTTAGAATGCACCCATGTCAGAATCCTTGTCGAAAAGCTCGCTCCGTCGCCTCAGGGATAGCCAGAAGCAATTATTCTAGGCAACCTCAAGTGGAAGCACTATGGCTGTATAACTCATGGGCTCCCCTACTCTATATTGTCCCACCTTAATCAAGACTATTTAAACACTGACCTTGAAGCTTAGTAACCAGGAACGTGTTTTCAACCAACGAATGTCGGTAGGCACCCTATCACTTTACATGCCCTACGCCTCAAAAACCTAAAGCCCTCAACTCTATAGACTGGGTCACAAACATGGGAATCAAAATTCCAATGGCACGGCACAAGCTATGAGGAATCCGAAAGATGGAGATCCCGAAGCACAACCTGTCAACGTTGGTTGTCTGAAGCCCTACACCTCTGGGGGTGGAGAGAGACTGGGTGCACACTTGACTTCAGGGATTACGGGATGATTGTCAATGCGAAGCTTAGGATAGCTGGATAGTTCGTGAAGAAGGACTTCAAAGACTCCCGCATCCTCACACCCTAAGCCCAAAGACTAACTCTAAAACTTCAAGCCCTAAGCCCTAAACGTGAAATCCTGGATCCTGGACCATCAATCCGTAACTTAAGCTAACTTTTGCATCTGGGCTCTGCACCATCTAAGACCTATATCGTGACCCCTATGAGGATATAAATGTATACAGATTTATATGCATATATATATATGTATATATACATGTGTGTGTTTATATGCCCTCTAAACCCTACATACAAGTCAGACCTTGTGAAAGGACGTCCCAATTTCGGATCGGATCTGCGCGGCGTCCGACTCGTAAGTGCACTCTGCAAACTCCACCGAACCCTGCTCCTCTTCGGATTTTTGCGAAGAAGAGTGCTGGTATTCCAGGGTCTTTTGCAGATAAATAAGGTTTCAAGGGAACGCATGGGGCCCGACTTAGGAGTTCTGAGGGAAGTTGAAAAAACTCTTCTCTCCGTCTGCGGAATCATGATAACCATAAGGAGAAAAAGAACGCTCCTTGTGAGGAATACACGCACCCCCAATCCGTGCGATTGTGTTCAACACAAAATTCATCCATACTATGATACTTAGACTTTGTGATAGCCAGCAAAAGCCACTGTAAAAATAGGATCATCTTGAAGCCTGAGTTCCTGGCAAGCCTTTTTGACCCTGCATTGTGATCTTGTTGTAGGTTGATTTGTGGTCAGCGTGGTATTACCATAAGATTTTCTAGAAAAAACGATGGCAGGTTGCCCTGACGATGGCGGACGACTATTACCACTACTACGACGACGACAATGACGACACTCCTCCTCCGCCTCCTGCTGCTGCTGCTACTGCTAATGCTGTCCTACCCCTCCTCCTAGTGATGCTTCATAGGCTCCATAGTAAGCACCACAAACAGAGACCTTTCCAAATACAATCAGTACCGCCCAAATCCTAAATCCCAATCGCATGCGACCCTCATAGTAAACTGTACAGCCCGCACATAACCCTAATTTCCCTTTTTGTGTCCATTTTATTTCGGCTTAGATTTATCATCAATCCAGTTTTGTGATTCATTTCCTCGTGGGAGAGGGTGTGAAGACAGCAGGACACCCTACCTCTACTAATGCCCCTATATATTCCCCTAATGAAGCCTTAAACATTCTAAAGCCTTAAGCCCTGAATAATCCCCTTAAAGGGGCCTAGAATCCCCCTATGAGCTACAGTCTAAACTCCTGAAAGGGGTCTGTAGCGGGCTTATACAGGGGACTACTCCAGGGGTTATTAAGGCGGATACCAGGAGTTTACATTGTGGCGCTTATATGACTTGTATACTCCTATCCTGACGGGTGCTTCCTTGAGACCTCGGCTGAGCTGCATGGCCTGCTCTTGGAGGCTGACGCTGTCGAGTCGATCTACCTCACATGGGATTATCGGGATCACTACCCCTCGTAGTATTGGGCTTACATGGGGACTATGTGGAAATACTTCACATGGGACTGGAGAGGTCAGTACCCTTCCATAGCGGGAACATGTAGTAAGAACCGGCAAAACAACTATTTTTTAGGGTTTAGGGCTCATGGTTTAGGGACTCTATTGCCAATAATGGAGAATCAAATGGAAAATAGCATGGAACATGAAACGCAAACTGAGAGTACATGTCGGGGTTGATAAGTTTAGGGATTCCAAAAATCCCTCTTTAGGAGCCCCTATACACAGGATTATACGGCACATGATGGGTCCCGTTTTCTGGAAATACTCATGTGTCCCAAATAAGAAGTCCCCAACATGAAGCTATCCCGGTCACATCTACAAAGAAAATGGTCTCAGCTTAGAAACGTTAATGACAACCTTCCTAATCCCTTCCCCCGAATATCAAACCTCCCCCTCCCCCCCTAATCTTAACTACTCCCCGTTGTGGTATTTGATAATATGTTGGGCATAGCAAATATTAGGGGGTCGGGAGGTTTATTATTAGGGGGAGAGGATTACTCCAGCCAGGTCCAAAGCCTGAGGCCTTCATAGCTTTAAGCTTCCTCTCAACTCTAGATCGGCATTTCTAGCCCGCAAGAAGGGCCAGCTAATGCACAGTACCCTCTGGGGCTCCCAAAATGGGCCCGAAACTGTCGCAAACCGAACAACTCTAAAACATTGGGTCCCAACCCTCCAACCCTGCAGCCCTCCAACACTCAAACTTCCAAGCCTCCATCAGGTTAGGGTTTCCAAAATCAGGGGCCCTTTTGGCGAGATATTATCCAACACTCAAACTTCCAAGCCTCCATGAGGCAGAAAGCCAAAGCAGCGCTTAAGAAGACGCATCGCTGTAGGGTTTTCCTCGCCAACGGTGTACTGTAGCCCTTTTCAGGGTAACCCCGAACCGTCAATTTTTGCTTTCCGGATTCGATCGGGCTTATATGGGGATTAGATGGGGGTTATCTGAAGATTTTCTAGGGATTAATTGCTAGCAGGTCGCTGCTCTGAAGGGCAATCAACCGGAATCAGGTCTCTTGCGTTGTGGCAATCACTTCCAGTTCGAGGCATAAAAAGCAGTACAATCACATATGAGCTATCGTCGAAAGGGTTGCAGTGTATACGGGAGTATTCTAGGGTTACCACGGGAGATACCAGGAGTTTACACTACAGCTCATATGTAGGACTCACTGAAACCCAACAGCGCCTGTTTGGTTTCCCATGTGTTGCAGAACTTGACCCCCAACATCCTGACAACAAAATTGCCAACAGCGTTAGTGCAGCCTCGTCTCGCCAATAGTTCAGCCTGGCAAGCTACTTCGACAAGTGCAGATTTCGTGTGAGGGTAAAATCTGCTGGTGGGCCTGAGGTAAGATTGGGGGGGGGGGGGGGNNTTCCCAAAATTACTGGTACCTTTCTGCGAGTCCCTAGAATAAGGACTGAAATATTTTGGGCTTGATATTGGTGTCCCCCTATTTAGGGAAACTGCCACAGCCACATGCCTCAGTCCAGGACATACAAATCACTACATCATCAAGGTTGGAAGACATTCTGGACCCCAAACCCTCACCCTGCCTTGATCCCCCTCCTGCCTTGATGTTTTCTGGGCACATGTCCCTGTGGATAGACATGGCTGGTCAAGGCGCTTGTCATTTGAGATGGAAAATGATTGTGCGAAACCACTGCGCCAGCGCGAAGCAAAAACAGAAAGAACAAATACAAAAAATATGGTCTGCAACCCCTTCCGCCTCGCGGGGCAAAAACGGCACCCAGCGATGGCGCGTCCGCCAGCTGATGATGGCACAGCAGCTTGCCAGCTGACCAATCAAGTTCATAATGCGGCGCCTTGGCGACGCCTGCATGATTGCCTGGGCCAGTAACCATAGTGCCTCTTAAGTAGGTAGAATATGGCTTTGGGTATATTTCAAGAAGATCCCCTCATATACCCCATATTCTATCTACTTAAGGGGGACTATAGCCATGGAACCTTTGGGCTGTGATTTGAATCAAGCTGAGGGTCAACTCAGGAAACCAAAAATTGATTACTTGTGCCAAGCAGCACTGGCGAACAAGGTAGAAATTATGGCAATGATGCAGAAAAGGTTCGTGTAACCTTCGAGCTCATGGATTCGAATGAAGATGCCCAGGAGAATGCCCGAGATGGCAGCAGCGGCCATCGCAGGCATTGCAGCCAGAAGTCTGTCATTATATGGAGCCCTTGCTATCAGAACAACCTTCCCCTCTTCCGAGGCAAGGTGGGCTTCATAAGCACACCACAATCTGGTGTAGATGCTGCATTTGTGGTTCCTTGATTCTGTGAGGCCCATCAACATCCAGGTTCCAGCTTTCACACAACTAGGACAGTGCGGAAAAAAAAAGTGTCTACGCTTAGAAGTGAGAAAAAAGCTTCGGCACCACCAGCACCGAGGTGGCTGCTCGGAGTGCCAGGGCAAACGGCGAGCTGCTAGGACACCGAAGTAGAGCGCCAATGTTGAAGTTTTGAGGGTTGGCCAACATGCAGCACCAGGCGTTTTGAGCAGGGTGCGGCCATGAAAACAACACCTTGCTTTCAGGCAAGGTAGACATCACACTTCCTTGAGGCAGGAACCCCTCAAAGCTAAAACTGGCACGTCAGCATAAACAACCAAAGACTGCTCTGCAAAGTGCAATAAGTCCTGCATAAGGCTTCTTTCCCGGTTTGACGCATGCAGTTGAGCCATGTTGAGCCGCTTCTTTCAACCCCTTTACCCTATGGGTCCAAGGACACAAATCGTAGGGTTTTTACTCTCATATTAATGATTAACGGTATTTGGGCCATAAAGCCCTACTATTTGGGTCCTTGGACCCTTAGGGTTATACCCTTCCTTGCTAAGAGACTTGCGACAGAAGCTCGAACCAGCCCTCTGCCCAGGCATGGCTGATAAAGACATGGCAGTCAAGGCCATTCCTGGGGCTCACGGCTTCTGAAATTTGTTTTAATTAAGGACTCGAAAAGAGAATCTTGTTTTTTGGTGGTTAGGCTATTGCAAAGGTTTTGGGATTCATCAGAAGCAGGTTGGTTGTCATGGTAGTCATCACTTTTTGGTCGTTCTCACGGGTTCCATCGGTTTAGGATAGGCATCGAGGGCCTGGGGCTTGTGTTGACTCTTCCAAAAATGCTAGGGATAGGAGGCTTCGGTTGGAAATTAGAAGTTGGCGTAATGTTTATAAGGTCATTTCTACTTGTAATTCCTAAGCATGATCTGCAAGCACCTTTCTCCGACCCAGTCGACAGCACTCGCTGCCACCCCAGCTTAGCTAAGGTTCGGATGCCTCTTCAATGCCCAGCTGAAGTGCGGTTGGACCTTGGTCAAGGGCAAGGCTCTTGCAATGACATTCCTTGGTGCTAGGATAGGCTCACCTCCGTGCATAGAGTGCAGCAGAACCCTCAATACGCATTGTAACATCCAGGCGCTGGACCCTGATGGTAAAGAGAAGCAGAAGCATGGTAGCACTAAATATCTGGAGGAGGAGGAGGAGGTGCATTAGATCTCGGAGAAAGGCGTGTAGGAGATGTAGGACTAGGAGGAAGAGAAGCAAATAACTCGGCCCAAGTGACTGTCCTCGGTTTGATATACTGCTCGGTCACTTCATAGACGCTTGGGCCATACCTGTCGCAGTCCGAAGTCCAAAACTACAAGAAGCCAACCCCCAAAACACCTGATACCTAAACCCCGTGCTGCCGGTAATAATGTTCTGAACTTCGATGTATACTCCATAATAATATAGTAGCTTGGATGTTCTTTTCCGTTGTCCCTATGTAACCCCAATTTACCCCCCCCCCCACTTAACATCCAAGGCGTCAACAGCCCTACCCCGGGAGTCCCCATCACTCAGATGGCATCTAAGAACTCTTCAGAGAAAACCAGCCTCCAAAACCCTGACCATTCACCTCTAAATCCT